GCACACCTCGGCCGTCAAGCTTGGCCTGCCACTCCAGGTACAGCTGCAGGTGCTGCTCGGCCTCGCTGCAAGCAGCATCGATGCGTGGGTGTCATGAGCAGCAATGAACAGGTACAGCAAGATCCCCATGAAGATGTCCCTACACAGCGCAGCAATCAAACGAACCTGCGCAGCTTGCTGATTTTCCTGCCCATCTTTGTGGCAGCGTTGCCGCTCTCCTGCGCCTTGTCTTGTTTTATCATCTTGATCCTGAACACGCGGTCCTGAATCTCGCGCGCCTCGGCTATGCACACTCGGAGGGCCACCTGCCTGGCACCAGCATCATACTCTTCCTGCCCTGGGGCCCAACGCTGATCTGCACATAGGCAGGCGCAGGTGGAAGGCAATCCTGAGCACATTCGCAATAGCACAAAACAGACACACAGCCAACAACACAGGGCCCATCCAACAGCACAGGGCCCAGCAAGCTTGCCTGGATCAATCTGAAGCTCCATCTCGCATGCAACGACCGCCTTGCGCAACTGCTCCTCCTTCTTGTTGTCGCTGGCCTTGGCATGTACATGGACAGCCATCGGGCCCTGCAGGACCATGCTCAAGCCCATCTTCTGCTTGCGCATCTCCTGGTGCGCGTTCCATCTCATCAGCGCCTCAACATAGCGCACCTGTGGCAGGCACGGAACGGAGCACACTGTAGATGATGGACGGTGGCATGGCTTTGCCACATCAGCAGCGCCAGCATCATATGAATCACCTACCAAGCGCACCTTTGTGCTGATGCCAACAGTCGATGCCGGCCCGATGGGTTGAAGAGAAGCCAGCGCTGCCTCCAAATCAGCCACACCAGCAGCGGAGGCCTCGACCCTCAAGTCCTCAATCCCCTTCTCGTGCTGACCTGCAGGCAGGGCGCAGGCAGGGCGCAGGCAGCACCGGGCTGTGTGTGAAAGCCATCACAGGCGGGGCTTTCTGGTGCCACCACAAGGGAACAAAATGCAGGAGAGGCAAACAATGCAGCGCAATGCACGCACTAATGGTGTTGCCAATGTTCTTCAGCTTCTTTTCCAGCAGCTGCGGCAGGTCACGCTGCACCAGCTGCCCCAGCAGTGCGAACAACGAGTTGTAGCCATCCCACCAGCGGGGGGGCGCCATGTAGCGAGCGACAAGAGAGAAAGGCTTCACACGCGACCAAACCTGCTCAGACTGCTCACCAACACGGCGACCCACGCCTTCCTGCAAGCAGCAGGGATGGGGC